TAATATTGAAAAATATTATAAATTATATATTTATTTTTCTTTTAATTGATTTATATTTTACCTTTTAGCAAGAAGTCTGCTATAAAACTTTTGATAAACATCTTTATCCTCAATATACTTAAAAATTGTTATATTGTTTGTCAGTTTTTGGTCAATTTCAGATTCTGAAGTCTTTGATTTTTTTAATAACGTATCACAATACTTGGCTACATATTCGGCACTCCGACATGGCGTTTTGTCATTTACACGACGATTAATAACGCTCGCACAAGCCTTATCTAAAGCACTTAGAAATAGTGAATCATTTTCAAAAACATCGGCTATAAGTTCCTGAAACTTGTGGTGTACTTTCAACATATTTTCAACAAATTGTATGTGTATATTGTCGCCTTTTAATGTTGATATTGTTTCAAGGCCTTCGTTTTTAATATGATCCAAGAAGTATTGTATCAGCAAATCTTTCAGGTTGTCGGGTATGGGTTTCAATACTATATACATATTGCGTAAGTCTTTGCGCTTTTCTTGAGTTACCATTTCTTTACACTCAGAATATAAGAAATCCAATCTATCATTAATAAATTTTTCTTCGCATTGTTTACGCATTTTCGGATACGAGCTGAAGGAATACAAGATAAAATGTTTATATTTAAACAACATACAATAATTTGAATTTATTTTATACGAACCTAGTATGTAAAAACCTGTACGCTCGCTGATTTTCATCTTCAAGAATTTTAATAACTTCTTCCATATATTTACTTACAGTACAACTTTGTAATAACTTTGATGATACTCCCGCATAATACTCTCCACTGGTTTTTAATAAATAGTTTTCAAATAAATCTTGGTATAATTTAAGTGACCCAGTCTTTTTGTAATTTTGCACCTGTACGAAACTATGTATGACACCATGGATAATCTTAATTCTCTTAGTATCGATCGATTTATCATTTTCTCGATCAGCGGCAATACCCTGGAGAATGTGCCGGACCAATTCAGTACTGAGCCCTTCTATCATGCATAAACGCCAAATATCGAGGCCTTTAATAAAAATTTTTTGTGTAAATAATTAATAATAATGTATGTAATGTATTATTTTAATAGAAATAAAGAAAGTTAAATAAAGTGAAGTAAAAACTTTTTCAAAATTTTAACTTTTAAAACACAAAAGATCAATTATCTTGAATCTAAAAAAAAAGATACTGAGACTACTGTGTCTCTTCTACCAGCTTTTTGTCCCAAGAATTTCATATAAGGATAGCTTATATAAACTAATAAGTGTTAATAAAATTACATTACAAAATTATGTTAGGTACCTCGTTTATACGAACAAACAATTGAATAATTGGAAGTCTAGCAGAAGTGATTGCAATTTTGCCGGTTCGGCTCGTTTCGGTAAAAACATGCTTGCATTGCAAATCTTGCCATTCACAATATCGCTAAATAATAATCATATTGTGAATTGCGAACCTAATTTAAACTTGATTTTATACAAATTACTATTCAAGCGTAATTTTAGCTGTCAGATTTTTGTGTGAAATCGCATTCTAATTTCAAAGAACCTAAGGGCCATGTTATGTACACTGTCTCGGGCATAGCAAAATTGGCTCTTTCGGGCTATGACGAAAATACATGTTATGTAGACTGTCACATCACTATTGCCAATTTCATATTTTTACAATGTTTTGATACTTTTTCATTGTACATAAATTTAAAAGGAAATGTAGATATGCTCATTTTCAATTTGTCACCAAAAATGTGAATGTTAATTTATTATTATATGCCTCTCATTAAAATCGGAAAGTGTAATAATTAGAATATTACCGGTTTATAAAATAGGCTATGTTGCTTACTGCCAGTTTTTCTCTAAAACATTAAAATTGTGATAATTTGCTTCTAGAAGACGCAAATTCTGAGAAATTTATTATTAAACACTGCTTTGCCTAAGTACCCAGACATAAATACCCCGGCACTCATTCCAAAATTTGATCCGACAAATTGTTTTTTCTCTTACTCTCACTTTTATAATTTGTATTGAAAACAACAATTTTTCTCATGCCGTACCTGAGTCCTAACAGAATTGTGTGTAATCAAAATTACAATTCCTTGCTTTTATTATACTCTGTTCACACAACACAATTAACCCATTTCGGACCATCGTGTGATTCACCACACGTCTAGCTTTGAATATTTTTTAATATTCAAAGAATATTTTATCTTTTTTGGGTAAATATAAAGTGAAAGTAATCTTTCAAATAAATATTAAACTCTTCTCATATAATTAAACTCTACTATTTACTATTTGCTATGGAAATTTCACTGTAAAATTCCAAGTCTGAAATTGCCTGGTACTTAATGGGTTAATTTAAAATTTAATCGTTGTTGTTATTGTAGTAGATCGTAGAGTTCTATATGACAGATACAGCGTGAAACAATTTACAAATACGAATGCATGGACTAGGATATGGTTAAATAGAGGAAATGTGAATTAGTTCTTTTTGGAAATGGCAGTTGGTCATCGAAATTGAAGCCAATTAAATTTTAATCGTTATGTCTTGCGCTGTGTAAATAAGCTTGACAGCCTATTTACACATCACAATTAAAATTAAATTCAATGTTGTATAGTATTTATTAATTATAGTATTAATTGTATTAACTCATAGACATCTATATGGCAGATAATATATAAAGATTTATAAATGAGAATACATAATTGGGTAAATGAAGTGTAAACTAGTCCCTTTTAGAAATGGTGAACATTAAAAAAACAATTAAAATTCAATTCAATGTTGCTATAGTATTAACTCATAGATATCTATATGGCAGAGAATATATAAGGATTTATAAATGCAATACATAATTGGATAAAAAAAAGTGTGAACTAGTCCCTTTTAGAAATGGTGAATTTAACACTTCGTCGTCGAAATTGACGAGAGCTTCTGTGAAGTAAACTCAGTCACTTCTGGAACATAATAAATTTTAATCATGATTACTTGTGCTGTGTGAATAGGCTATTACATGTGGTTTACTATAATTATCTAAAATTCCTAGAAAATTGCATTCGCTCGCATTTTTTTCTGCATAATTTCTTTATTCTCAGAAAATTCATTTAGAATTTTGTCGCGTAAGACTTTATATTATAAACTAGACAGACTTACTCTTAAAACTCATATTTAGATCACACAGAAAATTACATAAATATTAAGAATTTTTTAAAAAGTCATACACTTACATTATTATTACAGATATTATTAGACTTATACATAGTAACCGTCTTATAGTAACCAATTAGCAGCTTTTTTTAATTAACTGATTGTAAACATTTTTTACCTAATTCGCCAATTTCCATTTGCTCCCTGTGTTGTGTGGATATGGTACCATAAACTACTTCAGCATCAGATAGTTTTTGTTTTTTAATATGCTGTTGGTTGAGGTACCTGCAATAATATACAATTTTACCCAAAGTGTTTGGAAATACTATACTATATACTATTATTAATAATGCGCTGTGTATATATTTGGTACTTACGAGTAGAGGAAGTGCAAATACTCTACGCCTTGACTATATTCAGCCCACGCCTCATAATAACGTTGTAGTAGATCCGGTTGGCAGAGTGGATTACTTGATTCATTCTCTTTCGATAAGGGCATTACCCTTTCGGATAACATAGTACTGACATGACGCTCTAGAAAATCTTTAGTTTCAGCGTAGAGTTTATCTGCAAATGGTTCAGGGTGTGCGACGCACAACGTATACACATCACTAAAAATAAAACAAAATTCTTAATACTGTACATACTGTGCATGCATTTTGACGTTATGCAGAGAGTTATTTAACTGTAATTAAATGTACCTGAAACTGGTATTCCAGGCATCGCGTTCAACCTTGCCTAAAGTAACAACAGCCGTTGCAGTAGCGCGTAATTGTGGCCAAATTTCATCGAAATTAACAGATTTTGGCTTCAAGGACATATTAAGTAAATGTTTTACTGGCCGTATATTGCTTAAAATAATTTATAATTTTCTTTCAATAATTGCATTTAAATGAAATGAAATATAATGTGTACAATAAGCACAGTCCGAAATTTTAAGATTGTGTTATGCTTCAACCGCGCAAGCAATTTCCCGTCTATAAATCAATATATTTTTACTTTTATTGAGTTTTTATGGTAGCACAACTTCATTTTATCAATAAAGTGACATTGTCAAAAAAAAAAATTTTTTTCAAAACCAATTTCACTTTATTCACATAAAATGAATTTCTAAAAATTTTGCACCGTCAACTTCAGCTGTCACTTGGTTTAGTTCGCATTCAATTACAGGGTACTTGCCATTTGCTTGTCAGCTGTCAAAATTAAAACGTTGATCGGACTGTACAGCGGCTAATCTAAAAATCTGAAAATATTATTCATGCGTTGACTGCAGGGTGCCTTCAGTTAAGCGCGAATTAACCAGTGTTGAAAATAAATTCAATTATATATATATATATATATACTTCTTTTTAAATTTGTTATATTACATATAAATTTATAACAATTATATTATATATATATACAAAGCTTACAGCTATGACATTTTAGCTGCCTGCCGTATTTATTTTATGATATTACAATACTTAATATATGGTTTGTTGTTTTCCCTCAGGTATGAAGTAATGGTTCCATATTTCATCAATTGTCACTACTCGACTCTACACGCTTACAGTCAGCTAAATTGTACATAAACATTTCCAAACAATTGTTTCAATGACGAAGTCGTTGTCGTTTTTGATCAATTGTGAGGAAACGCGGGACCCATACCCAAATATTCATGTGAAATATTCGATACACGTTCATATAATATGTTTGTTATCTCTGCTATCTCAGGCAATTCAGTTTTTGGATTATTCAACACAACATTGTGAATTTTTTTAATGCTTTTTTCAGTTCTGACTTTTGTTTGACAGCCCAGACGCTCTTCATCAAAAACACTCGTATGACCACGTTTAAATTCAGCTTTCCAATAATTTATTGTTTGTTAACAATGGTACAAGGTTGCCATAAACAGAATCCATTTTCAATTTGAGTGCATCATTGTTTATTCCATTCAAATGGAGGAACTTCATTACTGAACGATATTCAATTTTTTCCATTTTATAAAAACTCACCAAGGTCCACTATAACAATTATTTGCAAAAAGATGACCAAACATCTGATGAAGTCAAAACTTTTACATCTTTCGTTTAAAATTTGCAAAACGGATATACTAAATATAATTGATTTTGTTCTCGTGCTGCCACCTATTGTGAAGTCAGGTAATTGTCAATCCATCCAGTATATGCATTCACATTCGCCACCGAAATGATTCATAAGTGACCGGCATTTTGTTAACGAATGCCAGTGCTAATGAATCAGCTTCACAAGAATACTTATATATTTCTAAGTAGAGCAGCATAAATGGCAAATGACGCATAAATCATAGCATATACTCGAGTGGTATGAATAAATGAATATACTCATCGAAAATTAATGACTCTATCAGGCATACCTGAAAAAAATTGTGAGCGCTGTTATTTACTAAGCAAAAAAATTTGCGTGTGTTTAATCCATATTCAGATGATCCAAAATATGGAAAATACGGCTGATAGAAACGAATCACAATTATCAAGTTCGTGGTCAACTTATAGGATACAAACATACCATATATCTTTATATATATATAAAGATATATATTAATCTTTTCTTCAGCATAATCAGATTCGTTCCCTTCGATTATACTAAAATCTGTCCCACGTGGCTAGAAACCAGCGAACCGATTGCAATCGATTATAAATGTCTATTCTAAATTGATTATATTATCTGGGCCCACTAATCACCATCAATAGATAATGTATTACTTAAAATACATTAAACCGCCATATATTGCCATACACATATCTACCTGATATTCTAGAACGTTATATGTTCACACGAACCTTACAGAATACATTATTAATATGGTTGGTTGGTTGTAGTGGTAAATTAGCAGATTCATATAATTAGCGATTATTTAAGATCGCAAGTAGAGCACTGTTCGCAAAAGTAATATAATAAAACTATGGATGGTCACTTGCGACATCAATACACACAAATGTGCAAGGTCATTAAAAAGTACTGCAGACGCGACAAAAGAAAACCGCAATAGCTGAATCAGGTGCAATCAGTGATGACATGAGGAATCTCTATTCAATAACTAGGGAAACGGCCGACACCAACCATAACGGAGAGAAATCCATCAAAGATAAATATGGAAATATCATAACTGACCTTAGGAAACAACTTAAGCGATGGGCTGAGGATTTTAAATAAATATTAAATAATCTGTTAGAAGCAACTACCGATGAAGAAACCGCAAATAAAAGTTAAAATGCGATCAAAATTTCAATGCGTCAATGTAAATCCTCCAATGAGAGATAAGGTTGCAGAAGCAATAAATAAACTTCAGAATAATAAGCTTTAGACGGAGACAACATATGTCCAGAACTACTAAATTGCAATGTTTCACTTTCAGTCAGTCAGAAGTTATACCTGGCAGCTGGAATGAAGCGCTGCTCTTAAAAATAGGATTTGCAAGTGACTGTAATAACTTCTGAGGAATAAGCTTATTACCAATCCCGAGCAAGATTTTCACAGCACGTATACAAAATAGAATTTCCACAGTAGCAGAAGCAAATTAAAGATGAAACCAGCATGGCTTTCGTAACAATAGATCATGCGTTGATCTAATATATACAATTCGCATTATCAATCAATTATCTTTGAGTTTAGAGCTACCATCTATGTTGCCTTCATAGATTTTAAAAAAAGCCTTTGACATTTTAAACCGACCATACATTTGGGCAGCAGTCTTCAAAAAGGCGATACCAGAAAAAATTATAAACCTTCTGAAGGAGCTATACAAGAATACTAAGTGTTGCGTGCTCCACAAAAACCAGCTCTCTGAGTTTTTTTTCATCAAAACAGATGTGTGACAAGGGTGTATACTATCAACATTGCTTTTTATACCCGCGGTAGATAATATCCTCAGTAGAGCATTAAAAAGTATCAGGGGAGTCTTTAACACAAATGTGAAATCTGTCTTGTACTACGGCTGTAAAACATCGAAGCAATTCAGACACATAGAGAGAAAGATACAAGTATTTGTCAACAAGTTTCTGCGTATTATTCGTAAAATATGATGGTAGATAGAGAACTTTCATTCTATATCCTTATTTAACTCTATCTTAAAGAGTTTTTAAAGAAATGAGTCTAAGTGACACATTGTAATGACAATTTTCCAACCTTCCACACTTAATCTATTGCGTCCAAATCCGCTCCTATTAACATATGGTATAATAAAACTCTTTGTCCTACTAAATGTCGTAATAAATGAAGGATTGATTGTAAAAGATTGAAATCCTTGCAGAGTGTGGCAAGGATTAGGGAATGATTTATTGTGAAAAAGACCGGACAGACGGATGCTGTGGTGAAAATACTGATTTCATTGTGACAGTATATTTTAGATATTGAGTAATAAATAATAATCGAAATTTAAGATATGTTTTATTAACAATAATATAACTTTCAAAACATTTTTAAAAAAAAATGTAGAAAGATTTCTGATGCTATATTTACAATAAATATGTTGTAAAATAGTATATATATATATGCTATATATATATATATATATATATATGTTTATATATGCTATATATATATAAATATATATCTTATATGTTGTAAAATAGTAAATAATTTTCATATTAAATCTTCAAAGGTGTTGAAGATTCCGGCATATTAATTACCGGAAAATATTTTTCAACTGTATTGGCTCTACTCTCCAGGTATCATAATGGACCATTATTTCAGCTGGAGAGAGCTTTGTTGCAAAAGGCTACCACTGCAACCTTATAACCTTATCTGATTTGACAACAAGTGCTGGTTTTACCTTCAGAGCTGATAACACGGACGTGTTACGTCTCACAAGTTGAGTTACAACTTAAGATGTAATTGTGGACTATAAACCACTGTTGAGCTTAGAGAATAAACGTATACTTTTTCATATATAATTTTATATATAATTACGTTATAATCGCTATAATGATTAGAACAACGTCAATACCGGCTCCTGCAAGTATTCTGTTTAAAGTAACTATCTTGATAAAGTAGAGCACAAACGTATCTTTAGGGTTAATATGGTATATTGGAGATATCGAATGACAATACAAATTTTTGGAATATATTCTATGTGCAACTTAAATGAAATAGAAAACTTACAGCACTTTGTGAGATGTTGGTCGGTATTCAAGGATCAAATACAGATATATGGGAAAAATAACAACTTATTCCTTTTAAAATTTTTTTGAAATGGAAACCACGGATGCTTTAATGGTATAAATGTTGACTTCTTCTTCTTCTTCTTTATTCCGTTAACTCCCAGTGGAGCATAGGGCCTCCACAATTCCTCTGAACCATATTCTATTTGGAGCTGCCGTACAGATGTGGGTTCATGAGTAGCGCGCTGATGTTAAATCGGCATCAATTGTCCTTCACCATGTTCTTGAAAGAGCGCCAGACCGGCGACTGCCTTGCGGGTTCCACTTTGGGGCTTGCTTAGTTTTACAGGAATTCGACTTGCGTAGCGTATATCCGATCCATTGCTATTTTCGTTTTTTTAATTTCGCTCTCGACGCTTTGTATATTTGCTCTTTTCCACAATTCTGCGTTAGAGATGCGTTCTGTCCACTATATTTCGAAGAAGCGTCTCAGGCATTTGAAGACTTGTGTTCGTGAATTGATTGATTTGATTTGTAGTTGGTTGATTTGTAGTTGGCCAAATGCAGACTTTGCCATATGTATACGAGCCGCTACGTGTTCTGCTGCTCCGCTTATGGATTGTACAACATTTATATTTATGTTCTCAACAGCTATGAAAGGATCTGTTACAGCGCAGTATCCACAGGACACGACAACCATTTTACACGTGGTTATTTCCAAGCTTGCTAGCTAGGCGTTACGATTTAGGCTGTCTACGTTATGTTGGAGATTTCTGCTTCTGTGACTCAGCAAACACACATCGTCTCTTGATATAATGAAAGATATAACAGCAAGGCCTCTTATTATTTCGAATGCATTTCACTATATGTGCAACATTTGTTTAGAGCACTATAAAGAGTACTCAACACTTGAGTCTATTGGCAGTATTTTACTCATACGGACTCATACAATAAACTGAAAGAACTTATACTTACTTATATTCTTTTCGTATGTCACTCATTGATACTTCTACTTGTCACAAATGACTTATGAGTATTATGAGTATGAGTCA